TTTTTTTTTTCCACTGTCACTTTAGGAAGGAGAGTAGAACAAAGAAAAAACTTTCCCCTTTAGAATATTCGCAGCTTAAAACTCTCACAGGGAACAATATATACTTAGCAGCCTTCAAGATTCCAGGTCACTTTCTCCCGTCTTGTCCCGGTTAGAAGCAACTTTCACTTTTCTTTCAGCTTCCTCCCTCCTGCACCTGCTTGTCCGGCTGCAGCTTTCTTCGTGGCGGCCATTGCTGACCACCGTTCCTCCGGCTCGGGAAAAGGGGGTTTAGCCGGCTGGGGAGGGGGTTTGCGACACCCCCAAACCCCTTGCCGGATCCCCCCTGTCTTCAGCTGCCTCTGCGGGGCAGCTATATCCCCCAGATCCAAATGGATCGGGGGAACCTTAGCGGTGAACGCAGCAGGGATCGCGCGGTCGCGAATCCCTGCCGCCGCCGAAAGGTTGCAAACCGGAAGTCCCCCTGATAGCTATATTTTTATTGTCCAACATTCCCTTTAAGTAATAAAGTATCGATAGGTGGGGTTCTTCCAAAGGATTCTGGATGCTAAAGAATGGCATGTGCTCTAAGGAGCACTATCATCATAGCTTTTATGGAAATTCCACTTTCCCTTCCCCTCCTGACATAATCAGCATTCCTAGTTGTGCTGCCTCAGAAAATTATAAATGCCCCAATTACTAAAGGTAAAAACTGCTAATAGCCAAATTATGAAAATAAATGCTTCATTTATTTAGAAACAAGTTGATATTGCTGATGAATGCTATATAGAGATTTGCCTCATACAGTATAGTTTGTGTGCATTTTATTTAATGTTTCCACCATTTCATCATTTAGCATTTAGACTTATATACCGCTTCACAAAAAGGGACGCTGTGGCTCAGTGGCCAAGATGCTGAGCTTGTCAATCAGAAAAGTCGGCAGTTTGGCGGTTCAAATCCCTCGCGTCGCATAATAGACTAAGCTCCTATTACTTGTTCCAGCTTCTGCCAACCTAACAGTTCGAAAGCATGTAAAAATGCAAGTAGAAAAATAGGAACCACTTTGATGGGAAGGTAACAGCGTTCCGAGCGCCTTCAGTGTTTAGTCATGCTGGCCACATGACCACGGAGACGTCTTTGGACAGCGCTGGCTCTTCAGCTGGAAACGACTAGCATGTATGTGCAAGGAGTACTTTTACTGTACCGCTTTATAGTGCTTTACACTACCACTTTATAGTGCTTTTTTTCTCTAAGTGGTTTACATAGTCAGCATATTGCCCCCAACAATCTGGGTCCTCATTTCAAGATATTATACTATGCATTCGCTTCCAGTCATTTTGAATATTCTTGGGCCACACCAAAATAGAACTAGAGCAAATTAACAGTCCCAAGAACTTATACCGTGAGAACATCTAAATTACACTCTAGTGAGGGGACAAGGGAAAGACTCCTCAACTGCAAGAAAAGTTGCAATTTCTTTTATCGCTTGGTGAATCAGTCTACTGACTACAAGTAGTCCTCGACTTATGAGCACAATTGAGCCCAACATTTTTGTTGCTAAGCGAGACATTTGTTAAGTGAGTTTTGCCCTATTTTTCTTGCCACAGTTGTTTAAGTTAGTAACATGGTTGTTAAATGAATCTGGCTTCCCCACTGACTTGTCAGGAGGTGGCAAAAGGGGACCACATGACCCCAGGATAATGCAACCGTCATAAATATGAGCCAGTTGCCAAGGGTCTCAATTTTGATCATGTGACTTTTGGGGAAATGGTCATAAGTCATTTTTTTTCAGTGCTGTTGAGTGGTCACTAAATAAACTGTTGTAAGTCAAGGATTATCTGAACAAACACCTACAGATAAACAAAACATCATATGTAAAACAGAGACATTTTTCAATGTACATTTTTTTCCAGCTCATCTAGTGGTAGCCTATTAGAAGAAATTAGAAGAAAATACCACTCTTAACTTTTTTCTCTAGCAATAAAATACAACACTCAGAGCACTTCCTTGCAGACTTCTCTATTAATATGCACTTTCATTGATCAATCAATATGACTTCCCTAACAGACTCACAGTTAATCAAATCATCTTGCCACTTAATCATTTCTGAGTCTTGCCCACCCATAAGCAACTTGAGGTTGAAATAGCTATGAAAAAAAAATGGCAACTGAATTATTTGACTCCAAGCTTCTTGTTTTTCTTCTTGCCACATGGTCATGTGTCCAAAAAAAAAAAAAAGACCCATGTAAAGCCTGGGGCAAAACTCAATCATGGTTTGGCCAAGAAATCATAAACACCCCAAAATGTGCTATCATGACAATACTAATAAAAGTCTAGTAATAAAACGACCCAGTTTAATCTAGTGGTTAAAGCACCAGGCTAAAAACCAGGAGACCATACATTCTAATCCCGCCTCAGCCATGAAAGCCAGCTGGCAACCTTGGGCCAGTCACTACCTCTCAGTCCAACTCACCTCATAGGCAGTGGTGCGATTCAACTGGTGTAACTGGTTCGGTGAGCCACGCGCTCTGTGTTTAAAAAAGCCCATTTTCAGCTCTAATACTTACCTTCTACTGCAGACCCTTGAATAAAACACCTGAGGCGCGGCACACCTCACTGACGCGTGAATCAGCTGTGCTCTAAAAAAACAAAATAAAGCACAGGAAAGAGGAGGGGCGGGTGGGCGGGCCCACATGCTCGTCGGAGCGAACCGGTTCTGAACCAGCTGATGATCAGAACTAGGGGTTTGCCCGAACCGGGAGAATCCCTGCTCATAGGATTGCTGTTGTTGTAGGGAAAAATAGGAGGAGAAAGCAGGGGTGAAAGTCAACATTTTGCCGGCTCTTTGGGCGTGGGCGTGGCTTGGTATAATAGCAACTGGGGCGATTTTTTACCGATTCAAATCGTCCCTACCACCTCTCCATCTTGGTGGGCCAAGGTGGTTGAATTTCACCCCTGGGAGAAAGGCGTGTTGGCTATGTTAACTACCTTTGGTTATTGTAAAAATAATAAAGGTGGGATACAAACAAACAAATTTTAAAAAAACTGCACTCAGAATAATCCTCTTTCTCGGTATGTTAATCATCGTTTTCATACCACCAGCCTTATGCAAGTCTGTCTAAAAAAAAAAATTTATGTCTGTGTATAAGGATTTATGCCCAAACTACAATATGTGAAATGAATATTTGATCTTCTGATGTTCTATTTTTACCTAAATAACGCTTCAAGGGATCTGTATTTTACCACTGACATTTGTGGCAGTTTTATTCACTGCTAGGATTGTGGTCACTCCAGAAAATACTTCTACTCTACATATTAAATCTAAACAAAATAGGTACGTTTTAAAATCTTAAGCAATTTAAGTCAGGTACACAATTTAGATGAATTTTAAACCTTTTTTTTATTAGTGTCTCTGCTCCAATGTAAACCATCCCCTGGACTTTTCTGTGTTTATATTTAAATAAAACAGGAACTTTGAGTAAGACATTAGCTTGCTATGTTTATGCTGTAGTCCTTCAAATGATCAAAAAGGCCATTAAGAGTATAACAAATGAAGCAAATGGCTGCTATTGGATTCTCAAAGATCATAAACCAGAGGTAGTATTCAGCAGGTTATGACCAGTTCTGGAGAACCAGTAGTGGAAATTTTGAGTAGTTCGGAGAACCGGCGAATACCACCTCTGACTGGCCCCACCCCCATCTATTCTCTGCCTCCCGAGTCCCAGCTGATTGGCTGGGTCTTCTTTTGTTGCCCTGCACAGGAGAACAGAGCTGGAAAGCAGGTTAGTGGGATGGGGAGGGAATGAGATTTTGCAGTATCCTTCCCCTGCCACACCTACCAAACCATACCCACCAAGTCACACCATACCCATCAAGCCACGCCCACAGAACCGGTAGCAAAAAAAATTGAATCCCACCACTGTCATAAACTTATGTAGAACTTCACCTCAATATCTAAATTATAAATTCAGAAATGATAGCTACTCTACCAAAATGCTTTTGTAAACTCAAAAATATAAAGTTGGCTTGTGTTCTTTGAGAGTATAAAAAACAAGAGCACAACTGGAAATTTGCTTATTCCCTCTTAGTATACTACTCATCATAGAATTTAGATAAATATATAGATAAATCTTATCATCATAGAAGATTTACATAAACTTTCCTGTTTCTTTTTTTCTAATCATTTTCTAGTAACTGGAAGGCAAATGCTGGAATTTAGTACAGATTCTTCCCATGAAACTTTTTGTAACTAATCCTTCAGTAGCTGCCAACACTGACTGTAAATAAGTGTCCTATTGCTAAACAAGTCTTTCAAACAACTAATCTGTTTTTGTTTTGCCAAACAGAGCCTTAAAAGATACACCCTGGTAAATATTTCTAAATCTATTAACTAAAGAGAAAAATACTCATCTGATCTTTACATAATAGGGCATTTTACATATCTATGATCCCACAAATAATTATTTCAAGAATTTTATGTGATGCCATTCTTTCAAGATACTTGGTTTCTTCTAAATCAACAGGAAGCACAAAACCCTAGGAAGCACAAGATTATATGTGAAGATATACTGAGTGAGTGAGTGCATCCTTCCTCAGTATATCGTATATCGTATTTCAAACTTGTTTCTACAGTTCATAAATTGCAAAATGCCCCCCTTGGTGGATATGTCTTTCACTTGTGGCTAAATTTCTCTAACTTAACCCTTTTCTAGAGATGTTGGAATCAATGGCAATGCTTGCTGGCAGTGATAAGGGGTTGCAATTCAATGTATTTAAACAGGCTGGCCAAGTATCCACAGCTTTAAGTATCAGCAATCAAAAGAATTTGCAATCCGCACTGCTGACAGTCAGAATTCAGTGATCCTCTGAAAATATATGCCAACCCAGTGCAAATGATGAACGCACTCAAGTGAGGTCTCATACTAACCAAGAATGATTCAAGTCTCTAAATCATATCAACAAAGGGATCTCATTAAAAAGAAACGTGAAATGCTAATTCAAGCAGTTCAGAATATTTTTACCTTATTTTGATCTGTCCAGTATAAGAAAAATCCGTGTGGGTCTGTTCTGAGAAAAACCGTTGTCACGCTAGTAGAATCCTACACAAAAACAAAGGATACAGAATTAACATGTGACATAATCTTGAGCAGAAACTGTTTAGCTCATAACATATACATATAGAAATGTATCCAACTTATATACATATAGAACGGTATCTAGAGGGAAGTACATTTAAACTACTGTAATTTGTTGTGTGCTCATAAACCATTCACATAAACCATTTGAACAGACTAGGTAAATATGAGGGTGCCAATTAAGTATACTAGTATACTTTTATAACTCTATCTACCTCAGGTGTGTCCATGGGTTGCACGTAGCCCTGGACAGCTAGTAATGTGGCCCCACAAGGTCATAAACTTTTAACATTATGTGATCTATATACATTAACTATATTATATATTTTATATGCAGCCCAAGACAATTCCTCTTCCCTCAATGCCGCTCAGACAAGCCAAAAGTTTGGACACCCATAATCTACCCTCTGCCTCCCCCAAATGCATTTTTGAAGATAAATCTGCCAGTACCGATTAGAAATCCTACTTTAAATGCCACTAATTCAAAACGAAAGTATTGCAATGAATTAACCCCACATAAATACAGTATACACTACAAGTATATTCATCAAGTACTTTTGAAATCTTCTCTAGTTGCATAATTGTTGAATGAGACCAGCTGACAATGCTGCTGTATCACAACATTTGGGAAGCCAATCGCTTCTCAAAGCTAAGCATTCAAGAATTTGGAGAACAGCTTTGAACGGGGAAGCATTTGAAAATGTGTCCCATTCAATTTCACTGAGTTGACATCGCAAGTCAATTTCCATCATTTTTACATTATCTCCCAGCAGTGGATCTCTTGAAGAATACAGCATGATTCTTATTGTGTTGAGATGCAGCTTTTTTTCTATGTGTTATCCAATTATATTTACTGTCTACCTGCCATCTGCTCTGTAGAGCCTGTAAATTCCTCTATTTCACAACTCCTGTTTTAACATCCATATTTTTTTTTTGGAAGAAGTTCTTTACAGAGCTATCATGCCTCTCATTAGAGACAGAATGCATATAGGAAGGAGATTCAGGATATACACAAAAAACCTACACGTAACATTGTGCTTTTGTTGCTTTAAGCAAGGGTCAAATAATATATTTAAATGGTCCCCTTGGACTTGGACTTGATGTGTTAACTGACATAAGCCTAATAAATTATAGGAACTAGGAAGCCACAGTTGATCTGTTCCCTTAATAACTGATCTCAAGCAAAGGATAATACACCATAATAGAAAGTCACAACACTAACTTTCAGCCACACACTGCCTTCTTCTGTGTCCTCATCTACTTGACCTAAGCCAGCACTTACGTCTATCCACTCATCACTTGAGATCATTTCACTTGCTGCAGTAGAATGTTTTTAAAAAATAAAACTGAACTCATATCTCCCCATAAATAAGAAACATTAATTCACACAAACATACAAAACCATATGTTTTGCTTTAAATTTAGTTTCTAAATGGTACAATTATTATTGGCTATCATTTTTCATTAAAATGTATTTTTGTTGCATTAATTTGTTCACTTTTAATAAGACTAAATAAATTAAAGAATCCCCATCTGAAAATGTTATATAGATTTTCATATTTTACTATAAGTAGTCCTTGACTTACTACAGTTCATTTATTGACTGTCCAAAGTTATATGGCTCTGAAAAAAGTGACTTATGACTATTTTTCAGTTACAACTGTTCCAGCAGTCCCATGGTCACATGATCAAAATTCAGACACTTGACTCCTACTTATGACGATTGCAGTGTCCCGGGGTCATGTGATCCACTTTTGTGACCTTTTGACAAGCAAAGTCAATGGGGAAGCCAGATTCACTTAACAACCGGGTTGCTACCTGTGATTCACTTAACAAACGTGATTCACTTAACGTGGCAAGAAAGGTCGTAAAATGGACCAAAGTTCACTCAACTGTCTCATTTAGCAACATAAATTCTGGGCTCAATTGTGATTGTGAATGGAGAACCACCTGTATGTCTAATAGGACAGTTAAAAAAAAAAAGAATTGATTTCTTTCAGAAGCATACTATAGTACATGATCCCCAGCTTCATTAGATACACCAGACCAAGAACTAAGTCACACAAATGCCAAGACAACTTTTATTGAGAGTATTTATAAAAAGAGAATCTTGCAAGTCTAATTGTGCTATGCTCCTTTCTTTCTTATTCTGTCCAGTGGTGGGATTCAAATTTTTTTACTACTGGTTCTGTGGGCATGGTGTGGCTTGGTGGGCGTGGCAGGGGAAGGTTACTGCAAAATCCCATTCCCTTCTCACCCCACTAACCTACTTTCCAGCTCCGTTCTCCTGTGCAGAGCAACAAAAGAAGACCCAGCCAATCAGCTGGGACTTGGGAGGCAGAGAATAGGTGGGGGCGGGGCCAGTCAGAGGTGGTATTTGCCAGTTCTCCGAACTACTCAAAATTTCCGCTACTGGTTTTCCAGAACTGGTCAGAACCTGCTGAATACCACCTCTCATTCTGTCCCTATGTGAATAAGGAAGGATTCTGAGTCACTTGCAAATGCTTTCTGCTTCTTTTGGACTTCAACCATGTTTTTCTCATCCCTCTGGGAAGAGATCTCGCCTAATCTCTGTCAAGATCATCTCCCCTATTCTCTACAACAATTAATACAATTGTGTAATACAAAAGAGATTTAAGAAAAACTAAAATTTGGGAGCCAAACATAAAATAAAAATGATCAACTACAAGCAATTTTTCAAGATTCCTCCACTTTACAAACCTAACAATGTATGTATGTGGGACCATATTAGGAAACCAAACACATGCAAGCCAATACAAGTACATAGTCCTTGATTTACAATAGTTCATTTAGTGACTGTTTAAAGATAGAACACCACTGACAAAGTGACTTATGACCATTTTTTACACTTATGATGACTGCAGCATCCCCATGGTCATGTGATTAAAATTCCAGCACTTGGCAACTGCAACCGTCAATGTTTTGGGTCATGTGATCACCTTTTGTGATCTTCTGACAAGCAAAGTCAATGGGGAAGCCAGATTCACTGAAAACTGTATTACTACTACAGTGATTCACTTAAGAACTGTGGCAAGAAATATCGTAAAATGGGGTGAATCTCTTAACAATTATCTCAATAACATAAATTTTGGGCTCAAAATGGCCCAGTTAATTGTGAGGACTAGCTGTACTACATTTATTGTAATATTACAGTATCAGAATCTTACAAGTCTGAATGTGCTTCTCACCCACTCCTTTTATTTTCACGAGAACTAAGGAGGATTTGATCTGAGGTATTTTCTTGAGTTTCAGTTAGGCCCTGGACCTCTTGTATCTGATCATTGTTGTCTTGGTAGCAGCTCTTCCGTCTCTTTCTTTTCTTCCCATTACATACACATCTATTTTACACCTCTAGAATGTCTTTGTGACTTCCATTCAAGTATTTATACAGGTCCAGCTATCCTCTGGAGATCCGAGGGCCGTGATGGCGAACCTATGGCACGCATGCCACAGGTGGCACGCAGAGCCATTTGTGCCAGAACATGAGCTGCAGGCAAACTTACCTCACTGTACATGCGTGCACCTCACAGCTGATTTTCGGCTGGTTTGAGGCCTTTTTGGGGCTTCCAGGGGCTTGAGGAAGGCTTCTGCAGGCTTTGCAGGTCGAAAACTAGGCCCATTGAGTCACTTCCTGTTTTTCCAAAAATACCAGAAGTGATGAAACGGGCCTAGTTTTTGGCCTGCAAAGCCTGCAGAAGCCTTCCTCAAGCCTCTGGAAGGCTGAAAACTGGCCAAAAATCAGCTGTGAGGCATAGTGCAGGTAAGGGGGCAGCGGGGTGGCTGGGTGGGGATTGCGCGCACATACGTAGGGGGCATGGGGCACGCGCATTGCCTTCTGAGTGCTGGCACACGAGCATGAGCGTGCAAGCGCGTGCAGTTTTTGGCACAGGAGCCAAAAAAGGTTAGCCACCACTGTCCTAGGGGAACCTATTCCATTTGGGGGAATCAACCCAAATCAGTTAGATATTGCCAGTTGAGTATGTTGTTCTACTATATTGATTTTTCTACCATATGTACTTAAGTGCTTGTAGGAAGAGATCTGTGTTAATCTATGATGGCAGAAAGTCAGAAGGAACCTATAGCAATTTTCCAGCTAAGGAATTATTTTAAAAGGCGTAAACAGTTTTGAGTTGCAGCTCACTTCCTCAGATGCATGGAGTGGATAGACTAATGTAGGATTTAAATTGGGATGAGATGGGGGGAAAGGGAGGGGAAGACACAGTTGTGATACATCTACAATGTACATGGAAAACAGATTACAGTATCTTATCAATTAATAATTGTAACATTTAAAAGCACATTTTAACACATTAAAAACACATTGCGCCTGCCGAGACCTTCTGAACTTTTTAGATGGATCAGATCAGGAAATCCACTCCACAGGAAGGCTAGAATTGGCTACTGAATGGATATTGTAACAGCATCTTGCAAGTCTAATTGTGTTGTTCTCCCTCTTCCTTCATATAGTTCTGTGAATTAGGGACATATCTGCCCAACCTGCTTCCAAATGTTATCTGGCTGTTTCAGACTCTTAAAAATGCTTCAGCTCTTTTTGCCTAGACAACAAAAACTACATATCCCCATCAAGATCATCTTCTTTATTCTCTATAGATTGGCTGAAACCTTTTGATGGGAGTTCAGCAATTTCTTGCTCAACGCTGCTATTAAATTTCCAGGTCTGCCATACTTGTCCCGGGAGACTAGTGAAAAATCAACTCATTTTTCACAAGCAATGAATCCAAGGAACAAGACAAGAGATACACGGTTAGGGAGCAATAAATGAGCATATTTGTAGCTCAGGATTGAAATGAGAGGTGCTTGGTGCTCTCTGAACTTGGTAGTTTTCTTGCAGATGTTTCATTATCCAAACTAGGGAACATCATCAGGGTACTGATGATGTTAACTAGTTTGGGTAATGAAATGTCTGTAGGAAAACAACCAAG